ACTGAGAATTTCTTGACGGAATAATTTCGACGTGGTAGAGCCATGCTGCAGCTATATTAATTGTATAGTTGTAGCACGAATGAGTCGGCTCGACCGGGGAAGGACCACGCTCTCACACAATACCACCGTAAAATGGCAGTTTAACCCTGCTGTGTTTCGTATAGTGAGTGTAGAGAACCCTCAGATCATAGAAACAACAGTTGTTTCTATGATCTGAGAGAGAACCGGAGATCCTTTTTACTGGAAACGAGGCATTCCATCTTAGTCTTCACGGCTGAAAACGCATCTGTATTTTGATTCGCAAACGAGGATAGATGTAGATGTCTATGGGCCACAGCATCTACTTACCATCAGTTGGACTGTGTGCTCGCTTGTCACCCTTATCCTATTAAACTGATTTTTTGACCCGACCTGGGATTCGAACTCGAAAAATAGCGTTAAGTAACAATACAATTCTGCTGTGTTTTGATGCGTTTTATCTAAGTCCACAGCTGTAACTACGCATCTGCATTTTCGTCATTAATCGAGAATAGACGTAGATGTCTATGAGTCACAGCATATACATACCATCAGGTTGGCTCTGTACCTATTTGTGACATTTACTTCCATTAAAACCATATTGTAGATGGCCATCAGCAAGAATTACCCACGCTCATTTACAATCGATGATGAAGAATCGATTTTTGCGCATTTTTTGACTATGTTTAGTAAAATATTACATAGATTAGTCTAATAAAGATTTACTACATTGGTGAAATGACCCGCTTAAAGTTGAATCGAATCGCTAATTTATTTCCTAACAGTCCAATTATATCTCGTATAGCAGTTTTGCCCAAGATCGTATTTAGATTTAGAAATGAAATTTTTAAGCAGTAGATTTCTTTGAAATCATTAAAGAAGTTTCCACGAAATTGACCACAAATATTACAAACACTGATTGCGAACACCCGAAGTGAAGGTAACAACGTCTCCGCTCGGCAAACGAATGGAAATACCAATATATTTGGGGTCAATCAGAAGAGATTGTTATCTTGACTACAATTAACTTATGATCGGTCCGAGGGGGTCCACGTGCCGTGAAGTTCGTAAAGTAACTTTATCCATGACTGGAGATAAGAGGTCCTTTTCTCGCTCAAAGGCTCAGTATAGCCATTCAGCGAGGAAACTGCACGTGCACTTGGCACTATATCGCTGGGAGTAGGACTGTGTGATAATGTAAGATTTTAGTTTTAGATTTTTTTTTATTATGGTAATAAATATTAAATAAATATACATATATAAACTTAAGATTCCATGACATTTAACGAGCTATAATGTTAGTTAACCTTGCATTTGGATCTGCTTGTTCGTCTTCCCAAAGTCAAACAAGAGAAAGAAATATACATAAATATTGTAGTAACCGGCAAAGTGTGAAGTACCTACAATCAAAATTTTTATTTTATACGTGGTAGAGCCAAGCCGCAGCTATATTATGGTTGTAGCACGAGAGGTTCGGCTCGACCGGGTTAAGACCTCGCCTGCGCAAAATACTAGAGTCAAATAGTAGTTTAATGCAGCTGTATTTTGTATGGTGAGTGTAGACAATCGGAGACCCTTTTTACTGGAAACGAGACATTCCATCTTAGTTCTCAGGAGACTCTACATTTGATTCTTAATCAAGGCTAAATCTAGATGTCCACTTAGCATCAGGTAGACTGTGTGCTCGTTTGTTACCCAAAATCTATAAAAAAATCGAGTTCTAAAATGTCCTGATAATATAGAAAATCATGGGTTGGCCTAGTAAAGAAATCCATTGCAGTACGTTGCGGACTTGTGTCGCAAGTGACAACTGTTGCTCAACGTTGTCAGCAACTATTTTAATATCCGCAACATAATGTACGATGTTTATCTTGCAATCATTGCATTACGTCCGCGATAGCGATATTTTTCGAATGCTGTTGCAAAATCTTGAAATATTCGCATTAAGGTTACTTCCGGTTGCTTAGAACGGTCAATCACTTCTGTCGCACGAAAATACGCATGCACAGGGTTCTAATATAGCCGGTACCGGTGTATAAAACATCTATACAATAAACAAATATGAAGTGTCTGTTTGTAATATCAAAATAACAGCTTTTTACTAAATGCATATGAAAGTATATATGGTACTTATATCAAAAATACAATTATAAAATGTTTTGTTTGTCTGTCTGACTGTATGTCTGTGTATTGTTCCGGTTAATTTCCGAAACGGCTAGACCGATTTTGACGGGACTTTCATTGGCAAATAGCTCATGTTATAGGAAGTAACTTAGGCTACTTATATTTTAGAAAAATAATTAGGGATTCGCGCAACAAAATTAAAACCCTAGATTACACGTGGGTAACAGTTAGTTTTTCAAATAAAACTGAAATGACAAACCAACTAACTTACAACTCCGTCCACCTGATGGTTGGTGGCTACTATATTCCATGGACACCTGCAGCTAACTCTAAACACAAGACTGCAATGCGTTATCACTTCTAAGGTCTAAAATGGAATTCCTCATCTCAAATAACATAGGCTCCCTGTATCTCCATTCAACCGGAATACAGCAGTGCACGTACTGCTATCTTGCAGCAGAAACAGGTAAGAGCCAACCTGCCAAGACGGAATCATAAAAGAAGTCCTACGATTTATATATAATAATATATAATTATTATTAGACGTGTCATGTAGAAAGAATGAATGAGGAAAGAGTGACAAAGCAAAATTATGTTGCAGAGGTGAACGGCAGAGTCGGGAAGGGTCGCCCTAGGCGAAAGTTTATCGACCAAATTGGCGATATATTGAAAATGGGCCAAATCAAGAGTACCTTTAACCGACGAGCGTGTATGCGTAGGTATATGGATGTGGAGGAGGCGAGAGAGGTGTGTCAGGATCGTGCTAAATGGAAGTCCATAGTCTCTGCCTACCCCTCTGGGTGACAGGCGTGAGTGTTTATGTATATGTATTAGACGTGGTAGAGCCATGCTGCAGCTATATAAGTAGTATAGTTGTAGCACGAATGGGTCGGCTCGACCGGGGAAGGACCACGTTCTCACAGAATACCAGCGTAAAATAGAAGCTTAAGACTGCTGTGTTTCGTGTGGTGAGTGTAGAGAACCGGAGAACCTTTTTAACGGAAAAGAGGCATTTCATCTTAGTCGTCACGCATGACAACGCATCTACATTTTGATTCGCAAACGAGATATAGAGTAGATGTCTATGGGCTAGAGTAACCACTTACCATCAGGTGTACTGTTTGCTCGTTTATCACCCTATCACATTAAAAAAGATTGGAATGAAGTTCCTTATTGCACGGTACGCATTTCACGGATGGGGGCTAGGCGAGAAAAGAGCGACCCTTTCTATATAGAGCGAGTGAGATGGAATGATATCCATCTCCCTCGCAATTTTTCTTATCTTGCCGTGAAAGAAATGTTATTTTAAATGACGCTTCATTTTAATAGACGCTAGCAATTCATTTATTTGTATTTGTTAATCAATAATATAATACGTTTATCAATAATAATTTAGTACGAAAGGAAGTTCGTTCCAACCGATTGCTCCACGACACTCACGCATGTTTTTTCTTTTTAAGAGAGAGAACCACTTTTTACCTTATATAACCTCCCTTAACTTTATATAATAAAAATTTACAATAAACATTGTCGTTCAAAAAGAGCACATACTCATATTCAGTGTGATCCATTAAAATATACCATCGCTTGTACCAGCTGGGATTGTCTTTCAACGGGAAATAGAAACTCGATCGGACGCTGTACTGTGCCTAAATGGTAATTCGGGAGGGAACCGTATTTTCGCAAGTTATAAAATAACTTCGTGCATTCAAATGTGTACCATGTCGGAGCGTATTAAATAAAGGCACTCATTTAAAATGACAGTTGAATATGTAGAATTACAAAATGCATGTTTATTAACAAGTTCTGTAGTAAAAACTATTCTGTATTTCTGGGTGCTCAAATATTTATAGGTGGTAGATAAAAAACAACCACGACCCTATTATAACTAATTTATTCCAGCTGAAAGTATTTCTGGGTGTTCAAGTATTTCTGGGCACGATAAAAGCTACAATAATACACTGGAGAACACACATTTACGCACAAGAAGAGCAACAATTTTATTTCCTTATAAAACGGCTGGAAATTCTTTTAAGACTGACTGGCAGAGAATGCCTAGTGGCAAAGTTAAGTCTGTTTTTAGTCTGCCCTTTGTATTATTTTGAAATAAATATATATATAACACCTGTAAATCGCTTCAACTGAGCTGTAAACGCTTTCGCTTGGAATGTTTCCTGACAGCAGACTTAATATTGAATTCGAACCCACGGCTTTGTGAGGATGACGTGTTTGTAAACCACCTACATTCATTATTCTTGATTTTATAGACACGAAGGTGAAACACCGCCAACATCCTGTGCGAAATTTGTTGACAGAAAAACCCAATAACTGATGTCTCATGATCAGCACTCTCGTTCGCGACCACTAGACCAAAGTCCATTGTACTTATTATATCTAGGATACTTTAGTACTTTCGCAGTAGCCTATTTAAATTTCAAACTTATTTAATTTTCAAATTTAAATTTTTTACTTATGCTAATCTTAATTTTTTTTACGATGTTTACTCATCGTTCACTAATAGATACACAATCCCATTCAAAGTTTCTGTAAAAACTGTCGTCAATTGTTTTCACATAATTCTAGTTGAAATAAAAATATATTAATGTAAATTCAACCTTAAATGCATTGCGTAAAGTTGTATTCACAAAGCTACGTACAAAATAAAAGCTCATCAGCTCACGAGTGGGCGCTCATTCGGTAAGGACATTTTTGTCACTGATTGTGTATCTAGTTTTTTTATTAGTGATCATTCGTGATCGTGTTTACTTCGGTGTTATTGTACAATAAAGTTTTTATTTACAATATTAATTTCATAAATACCTTATCACACATCTGTAACAAAACTATTTATTTTCTAGAACCTGGACAACTGGAAGTCGTCCCGGCGGAAGCGAGTGGAACACATCATCGAGCGTTGCGTGGAGGTGCGCCGTCTGGAGTGTGAGCCCAGTCAGCCACGCGCCAAGTCTAAGACCTTCAACGAGATGCTCGAAGAGAGGTAGGTACCTATTTATAGATTTTTATCCGCCTACGGACCAAATAACAAACGCCACTCAATAGTATCACTTTAAGTCAAAGGTGCAACACGAGTAGGCGGTACGATCGGATACGCTTTTTCGTTACATTTTGACGTAAAGACCTTTGGTTCACAAATAATGGCGAAGAGGGAGGGGTACATAAATTGAACATATAAACACAAGATGATAACAGTTGAGGATGACAAGGATACACGACGAGATACACGAAAGAACGGCAATAATAACGGGAAATATTAAAGTCCCACGTAATAATGAGCTTGGAGTAGATTTAAAAAAAAAAGACTGAGCAGAAATATGTAAAAGTAAGAAAATCCAGAAGCGTACAGACAATGTGGTGTTAAGAAAGCGGTCAGTACATTGGCAATTTATCCGTTTACAATGGGAAGGTAATTTTCCAAGATGCATTATCACTAGACAACGATGTTGGGGCTAAATCTGCCTCTTCTTCCCAAAACATTAGAAAAAGTACGAATTTGTTCATTCAATAAGGTGATCGCCACCATGCTGGTTCTATGAAAATACATTTAAAATTGCATAAACAAAATTATTGTTAAGTGAAATTATGTTTAAAAAAAAGTTCCGCTGAGTTTCTTGCTGGTTCTTCCCAGGACAGAGGTGTTTTCTGAAACAGTTATAAATAAAAAAATACTTTCAATAAGTATTATGTATAAAAAATAAATATATTAAGATGAACATGGACAAAACAAAGATCATGTTTAATGTCCATGTCACACCTATGCCGATAGTTGTTGGGAACACTAAGCTCGAAGTTGTTGACGAGTATGTTTACCTGGGACAAATAGTCCGACTAGGTAAGTCCAACTTCGACCGAGAGGTCAATCGACGGATTCAACTCGGTTGGGCAGCGTTCGGGAAATTACGGCACATCTTCTCGTCAGGTATACCTCAAAACTTGAAAACGAGACTGTACACCCAGTGCGTGTTGCCAGTGATGACATACGGAACTGAGACGTGGTCCTTCACTGCTGGCCGGATGAGGAAGCTCAAGGTCGCTCAGCGAGCTATGGAGAGGGCTATGCTCGGAGTTTCTCTGCGTGATAAACTCAGAAATGAGGATATCCGCAGTAGAACTAGAGTGACCGACATAGCCCAACGGATTAGTAAGCTGAAGTGGCAATGGGCCGGCCATATAGCTCGAAGAACCGACAACCGATGGGGAAGAAAGGTTCTCGAGTGGCAGCCTCGTACCGGCAGGCGAAGTGTAGGACGTCCCCCCACTAGATGGAGTGACGACCTGGTAAGATATGCAGGAAGTCGATGGATGCAGGTGGCTCAGGACCGTGCTTTGTGGCATTCTTTGGGGGAGGCCTATGTTCAGCAGTGGACTTGTGAAGGGCTGTAATGATGAATGATGATGATGAAGTATTATGTAATAATCAATATTGAATAAAAATCATTCTATTCTATTCTATTCATCATTAATACGACCTATCAAAGGTCTACTGTTGAACATAGACCTCCCCTAAAAATTGCCACATAGGAGGTATATTTACTATGTCTATCCTATGGGATATGGGGTACTAAATTATTCTTTCGCCGCCACTACACGGCAAACAAAAACTAATAAAAGACTGTAGATAAACCTTAAGGTGGTTACGCTGGCAGGCCGTTTTATACGTGGTAGGGCCATGCTGCAGCTATATTAGTAGTATAGTTGTAGCACGAATGGGTCGGCTCGACCGGGGAAGGACCACGCTCTCACAGAATACCAGTATAAAATAGCAGCTTAACACTGCTGTGTTTTGTGTGGTGAGTGTAGAGAACCGGATATCCTTTTTACTGGAAACGAGGCATTCCATCTTAGTCCTCACGGGTGACGACGCATCTGCATTTTGATTATTTATTTAGTATAAATGTAGATGCCTATGGGTCACAGCAACCACTTACCATCAGGTGGACTGTGTGCTCGTTTGTCACCCTATCCTATAAAAAAGGTCGTTAGATACTGTCACCTTAATTTACCCCGCCTAAACGCTGATGATATTAGATGTAGGTAGAGTAGGCTGCGTTTTCAGAAATACGAAGATAATAATTACATTGGACAGATTTCTTTATCTGGCATTGAACTTAGGACTTACAACTCGTTAATCAGGTACGTTGACCACTAAGCCACACAGTCCTTACTATGTAAGTTTCTTTACAGTAAATTAAGCTAAAATTTCCCCTGCTTAACTTCCGTGACTGTCTGTCCACATAATGTAAAAATCTTCCAGTGTATCCATTACATGTAACAACTTTACGCCTGGAAAGTTACATAAATCGAATTTCCCCGTTAAGGAAACCAACTTTCCTCGTCGGACGGTGTCGGTTACGCCCGTCGCGCTCGGTGGCCGACGCTACTATCGGGTTACAGGTTCAGACCGTGGTTTGTACAAAGTTGGTGTACCTGGGCTTGCTTGACACAAACATGCATGCGACATGACGTGAAACTTACGCTAACCAAAATAGGCATTGGTGATCAATAATCTGGTTGAGGCAGGGGTAGCGACCCTATGGTCTAATCTAGTATGGCTTAGGCCAGGGTAACAAACCTTTTTATGCGCGCATATTCCCTTCAATATCTACCGTGACGGGAAACTTACGCTAACCAAAATAAATATGATCAATGTTCTGGTCGAGGCAGGGTTGGCGAACCTATTATCTAATTTATAACGACTTAGGTCAGGGTTACAAACCTTTTTATACACGCTAATTCCATTCAATAACTACGTGACATAAACTTATATTAACCAAAATATGCTTTGATGATCAATGGCTTGATCGACGCGGGAGTAGCAAACCTGTGTAAGAATATCTACTACCCGATATCGTCCCGTAGGTGTTATAAGAGATGACAGAAAGAAACAACTCATTAGATGGGCAGCTGTGTCTTTACTAACGCCTCAATTAACTAACTGCGTTTGTGAACCCGCTTGCTAAGTCACAACTATGGAAAGTATCTCTCCTATGAGACAATGTATGAGGGAGCAGTGGATTTGTGTTAGGCCGTAACGGTAATGGTGTCTATTGAAAACATTATACACAAAAATATTATATAAATAGTTAATAAAAATAGACGCGCTCACTGGTTCTAACGCATACACTGCGGAGCCACCCTGTACCTATATTAAGGTTGTAGCACCAAGGCTCGATCGGGTAAGGACCACGCTCTTATAGAATACGAACGTAACGCCAGCCAAGTAAGGCCAAATAGCATGTCAATGCTGCTGTGTTTCGTATGGTTAATGTAGAGAAAATTCTAATTCTATTCTATTCTAATTCTAATAAAGAACGTTTTTCTAATAAAGAAAGAAAGAAAAGAAGAGTACCGGTTTCTGTTTCTGTTTCTGGTGACTCTTTTCACTATTATGATTCTTAATCGAAATAAATGTAAATGTCTATGGGTCACAGCATCCACTTACCATCAGGTGGATTGTGTGCTCGTTTGTCAACCGTATTCTATAAAAGAAAAAGATCGGAGGTGAGACTTAGCTGCGTTGTTGGGGGAACAAAAAGGAATCTCCGAATTCCAGATTTCACGGGTCTAAAAAATTATAAATGACAAAATGACAGCAACCGGATTTGTAGGAAGTCAATAGCTGTAGATGGCTTAAGACCTATAATATATATTATGTATATATATTCATATATTTATCATAAACATTTTAGTAAAACGTAGGGACTCTGCATACTACCGTCTACGGTACATCTCACATGAGGTATAGAATACAGATTTAAGAAAAAATACTCGGTCGCATAAAGTTGACCGTCCGAACTTGTTCGGGGCCGGCTGAAAATCAACGCTGCAAGCTCGCAGCTTATGCTGAGACGGTCCCTTCCACCACTTCATAATACACATTTTTTATTTTTTATTTTAATGTGCGTTTGCATATACATATAATGGACGCACTTCTTTTATTCATTGTAATTTTGTTTCTTTATAAGTCACTTGTTTTATTTTTAATTGTAGTTTGTTAGCTGTGTAGAAGATGTAAGTGTTGGAATATATTATGTGTTTATGACCGTACTTTGTGGCGTTTGTTGCGAATACCTCAGCAGTTCAGCAGTAGATTTCTGAAAGGCTGTTATGAATATGATGATAAAGAATTAGAAACGATTGCACAGCCTGTTAATAAGTGGATACTCTGGTGAACAGACATCATCCCACAAATGTATCCTCTAGATTAAAAAAGTTATGTAGACTTGACGAACAAAAAGTATAAGTATAAGTTTTAATTTCATTTCTTCAATGAAGAAATCAAAATACAGATGCCTTATCAGCTCTTGAGAACTAAGATGGAAGCATTTCCAGTAAAAAGTGTCCGATTCTTGCCAGTCATAATTAGAAACTGCATCGTTATCTGACACGATAAAGGATTAATTTATTTCATATAGGTACAGATTAAAAATATAATTACACGGTCCATAGCGTAATTAGGAATAATTTGACTCTGTGTGCGTTAATCATACGTATGTATGTGTGTGTGTGTCAGACTAAATCTTAAGTATTAACTTTCAGCTTTAGCCTAATCTTTAATTTTAAATTCCAATCCGTGAATGTCCGCTCCACGTACACAGACAGATTTATGTTGGCATTAATTATAGTTCTTGTCATCGAAAGGATGAATTTATAGAGGTTAATGGAGATTTAATGTGACCCGGAGCATGTTTCACTCTTGGTGTTAGCTAGTTGTGATATTAGAATTGTTTTCTATTTTATTTTCGTTTCTATTAAAAATGATATTTAACGTTGATTGGTTGGATTGTAGGAACCGGTGTTAGCAAAATTTTGTCACGTAATAAGAGTTATATAATGATTTAAGCAGCCTTTGAATTATGTTTTTTTTTTCTTGTGCTTCTTTGTTATGGTCAACACGACCGGTGAAGGATCACACTCTCAAAGAATACCAGCGTGAAATAGCATCTTAATGCTGCTGTGTTTCGCATGATAAGTGTACAG